CCTCTGCTATTATAATTAGGAATATGCTCATTCAAATACTCAGACACCTGATGATTTGGTAAGCAGAAGGAAGACAAACAATCCACACAGTGCAGTTTCAGGAAGTATTTTTGGCAAAGCAATCAAACCTTAGTCAAGAACAATAAGCACACACAAACAGATTCTGCAGACCAACCAGACAACAAAAGCCTACTGAAAATAAGAACCTGTACAATACCAGGTACTCATTGACTAAGAAGCATTCAACATAAAGGTGCCAAAAGTTTGAAAGGACCCAAAATGGCAGTTACCTTAGTTACCTTAGCTACCTTTCTACACACTCAATGAATACAGCGAAGTCCAAATACAATGGTAGTAACATCCTAAAATAAGGCATATACATTCACTGTGCAGGCAGAATTCCTTCATTTCAAAGCGTTCCAAAACTTTCAAAAAAATAAGTTCCTTTACCTGTTTGTGCCTCTAAATCCACACCTGTCCACTTACACTCAGAACCTTGATTTTCTCACATTTAGGTTCCAATTCCACAGTTTTCTGGTATGTCATAATTGCTATGCTGCACAGGTACTTTTTGTCAAGTAACCAGTTAATCCCAAAATTGAGAGGCAAATAGAAAAGCCCTAATCAATATAAGAAACAGTAGCAGAATTGCATTCTTTGTGATCTTTCAAAAAGTGGTTTTTAATCAGTTACCATCTTACAACTTTATTAAGTCGCAATGAGCAGGAACTCCATCATAACTTCACCTAAACAAAGATGTTTTCTATTCCATTCACCATGTGCAATGCTTCATTTTTTCATTCTCAGAAAGCCACTAATAACCTCTCATTAATTGCACATTAGCACAGACTAGTGGTCATAATTCACCCCTGCAATTACATATAGTACAATTACTACACTCAAAAAATGTTGTGCTATCAAAACCAGAGATCTGTTTCTTAAGGTTACTTCAAACAACTTGTCATCTTTCTATATACACATTTTATTGTCACAGCCCTCTAATTTGGTCACATCCTGATTTGGCTTCCTTCTCATAAAATGAACTCAACAGTATTAAAATACTTTTCTATCCATGGAGCAGAGTGGCACAATAGATACAAGCAGGTTGTAAAACATCAGGAAAAAAATTAGATCTAAAATGAAAGAGACAACTTACAGGAGTTTGAAATATCAGTGGGTTTTTAACAAAACCAAAGTCTTTGACCATTAAGAATGTAGTTTTCCATAATCTGAACTACTACATATTGGCCTCATCTGGAAAAGTGTATTAGAATTTTTAGAAGCATTATTTTAGAAATATTTCATCACTTACTCATTCTTCTGAATTTCATGAAAGTCAAAATACCTATGGCTTTCTGAAGTGCTGTACCGTTTTGTTTTGCCTTTTTTTCCTAAAACGCAAACAACATTGACTGAAATTACCTCAATGAAGATGGGTCTTGCTATTCTAAAACCAGACATGTTCTATTCTTCTAATTTTTAAGAATCCCCTAGTGGTCAACAGTCCTCAGAAGTGACCTCTCTGATTCCAAAACAGTTTTACAAGTCAAGGCTATGTTCAAATCAATGGAAACAGCAAAACAAAAACTGGCACCTTCTTACCTATCATTTGTCATCACTTAAGCAGCATCTGGAGGCATGCTACGCACCTCACAATACAGAGAAGTCATATAATACAGCACATACAGCATTTTATTAAAAATACGGCTGAAATAATGGGATTGGTTAAAAGGCAATACTTACTCTATCTCAAAAACTATCAGCAGGCAGGAAGATTTAATCAGGGGTCCTTTGCTAGTAAGATTACCAGTTAATAGGCACCAGCTACTGTGTTAGCTTCCACTGCTTGCTCCTGAAGACTAAACTCAAACTGTAAATGAAATTCAGTGAAACCAACTTGCGAGTTTGTCACTAAAGTCCATTTCAGACTGTTCTTCTTCTGCAAGTATTATGAATTATTTCAGACCTAAATAATTTGAAGTGAAGACTAAGAGTTTTGTACTTAATTTGAGAAACTAACTTTCTTTACTTCTGCAAATTCTGTAACTGAGAAATCAACTTTCATGTTCTCCATGAAGAAATTTTCATTATGCATACTTGTAGAAAGCTGCACTAAGCACAAAGGATACAGCTTCTACTTAATATGAAACTCAAAAAGATATATTTCATACATCCCTTAAAAATATATGTTGTCTGGGAAACTGAGATCAATCTTGTTTAGCAGCAATCTGAGGGCATGACTGGAAAATATTACCCATGTAGCATCTCAAAGTGAATTTAATGCATCTATCAAGTACTGAGTAAACTAAATAAAACAAGCTTCCAGACAAAGTGTTATATTAAATAAATCTCAGTTTCTCAGCCCACATGAGATTAATAGTACAAATGTTAAATGAAACTGTAAATTTTAGCCATAAAATCATAATTCAAAATTAAATCAGTATCTATGCCAGAACTAAATCAGTTGTGTAACACATGGAAGTTTTATTTAAAAAATACATAAACTATTTATGCTTGGACTACTCTACCTAGATTTCAAAGAAGATTCAGAAACAGTTTTATTAATGCGAACAGATAGCTTCAATCCCTTGTCTGCTATTAGAAAAATAAAGAAAGGGAGAGCACTTCAGCTTGTCACTCAAGAGCAATTCACTAAAAAAAAAAAAATCAGGCAGTCTTAAGTAAACTGGCTGCTATCATCTAATGCATACAGACTGTGTAGGACAGTTCTTACCTTTCAAAAGGTAAGCCAGAACAGAACTGATAGAAAATATTTTTAAATAAACATCCATTAATCATTTCATTTCCAGAAAGGAAAAGACAGAATGTGAAAACTGAAAAAAAACAACTACAAGATGTCACCTCAGCCTCAAGTTTTCTCTTGTGATGAAAAACACATAATGGAAAAGTATTTCTGTGATAAAAATCAAGTTTGAACAAGCTTCTAGAAAATGTAAGTGTTTGACCACTTTCAATGACATATGGGACAAAGGAAGAAATACCAAATGAAAGATGTCCTAAAGCCCCATGAATACGTGTTGGGGGGGGGGAGGAAATTGCATTGGTTTCTATGTTACCTATTTGAATACACAGTAGCATATCCAGTAAGGAAACTAGTCTAAGAAGAATATTTATGACAAAGCTACCTAAGATAGAATGCTTCCTACAGCAGTAACTGTAACTTGGAAGCTTTTTCAATTTGACCAGTTCTGACAAAGCCATAGAAATCATTATCTCAGCATAGAAAAGAAACGTTAAGAACAGCATCAGCAAAACATACATGACAAATACAAAATACATGGCTTAGAAAGTACTTGAAAAAACACACAGCCCTTGAATATTTTGTGGTACCAGATATGAGATATCCACACTATGCTTGACTTGGGGGGCTCATTTTTGTTTAGTTGTAGTCTGGTCTTGAGGACTGAATGCCCCCTAATACTGGAGCACAATTCTGGTTAAGTGTTTCCAAAAAGGAATCCAGCTTGTGTACTCAGAGCATTCTGCAACACAACACAAAGCATGGTAAGCGGGAAGTACCGAGCAATTTGCTTCAAAAGCACAGCTCTATCTGACCTAAAAATGCTGATGTGGAAACATCTTCTGACTTTTTTTTTTTTTAATTTCTATTTATAGATGACTACACATTTCAACAAGATGGTCAGATGGAAAAAATAAGACACATATTGATACTACAACTAGAACTTTCAGTTTAATCACCCCCCTATTTGCATGGGGGGTGGGGGACGTTTTCTCCTTCCTTCTGTTCCACTCCACCACAGCTCATCCACAAAATGAAGAAACTGCGTTTAAGATGCCAAAGAGTAGAGACGTGCTCTGACCAACACAGAAGAATCTGAACAGGCAGAGGTCTGATAAAAACTGATTTGATCCACAGTGAGTTAAGCACCCTAAATAATATTCACTCCAAGCAAAAACAGGTTTCCAACAATAAGCACTAATGCTGTCCTGCCTAGCTTAAAGGTATTTTGAATACTAACAAGGATCTGACAAAATAGAGATGTAAAAAGCAATCAGTAAAAATTAAATGCTTCAAGAGAAAAATTTTGTATTGTAGAAACTTTGACATTTGAGACATCTTTTATTTTCAATAAACAATTAAAAGTAAAAGCATTTTAAAGCTTTCATCTCCCTGATCTCTAACAGGACTTTTAATATGCTAGTGCCACATTATGTTACTTTTCAGTATGTGGCTACTTAAGAGTCTTTGACCAAAACTAAGTTAGAAGTTCCACATTTGTTCCAGATGTTTACCATTTACAACAATTTCTCTTGTAAGTTTTCCTTGCCAGATTTATTTTCCACTGTACTGATGCTACACGATACAGTGCCACACTAGATATCTAACTACTGCTACAATGTCATGCAGAGATATTAACTAGAGTACCTGACAAACAAAAAGCTGATCATGGTGCAGGTATGACCATACTGACTCCAGCCGTGGAGCTAGTGTGGTCAGAAACAGCTTGGGTACCCCTACAAGCCACTGCATCGCAGTGAAACCTTTCTGTTTAAAGCTCAGTTAGGACAGACTTTTCTTTAAAATAACTACCATAATTAAAAACATGTTCTAAAGCACAAGTTTCTCCCCCTGCTAATACCAACACAACATCAAAACTCTCAGATTATGCTCTCAAAAATAACAATGCAGAGTTTGTATTTCTTCGTAAAACATGCTTCTTAACCAAGTCAGACTTGTCATTCTATACATACAAGCAAACAAACTTTTATACTTCAGTTCTCTGTGTTTATCAAAACTTTAAGTAGGGAGTTCAGGTTCCCTTCAATTTGGATTACAGAATCAAAAATCTTGTATTAATCTTTTTTCAAATTGTTATTATTAGTATCTTATATTAATTTTATCACACTCTTGTAGTTATAGAAAATGAACATCTTATTTTAAAACCCCTTTGTCATTCCAGGACACTTAGATCTATATAACAATGCAAGCACTGCTGTGGTACATCGTGTCACATTACCTCAGAAACATTTCGAAGTGTTTTACTAAAGCCTTTAGGTTTTTGTCAGGAAAGCACATCTTCCCCAGTATTTCTGGTAGCTTTACTGTAAATAAGAGAAATAATGTTTACACCTGTTCTTGTAAAAGCAACTTCTAATTACTTTTATCTACTATGCAGAAAAGAAGACTATAAAAATTTCTTCTCCCTGCAGCCTCCACTTTTCTTTGCAAGTTACTCAGTGATCTTTCAACGCCTTACTAAAAAGAAACATACTGAGAAAGTGCATGCTGCTTGGTTTGATGATGTTTGATAGTGTACTGGAAGTAATGCTTGTTTGCTTTTGTTAAATGAAGGCTTATAGAGCCAATAAAAGATAACCAAATTTATAAACAGCCTAAGACTTTTAAACAGATTAAAATGTACATTTCTCCAAGAATAAAACTAAATGTGATAAAGCAAACAGAAAATCAGAAATAAAGCGATTTTGATTGAGCACAGAGTTTTGCATCAGTTTACCAAACATCCGTAGCAAATGTTGAGATCCATAGATATATGAGGGAGGTGGTGGTTGATCACTTGGTGGATAATTCTCTGGCATCAATTTCCAGGACAAAACCTAAACATAAAACATGAAAATGTTGGTTATGAAATCTTTATAGCACCATAAATAATTTAGTCTGTAGAGAACTTCAAAATTAAACATGAAATAAGTAATACAAACAAAACCTTTTCTTACATAGCCCTACTCTGAGGTCCACGAAACCTTTAATCATTGAATCTAGGACAGTAACATAAAAATCTGTTACCTCATTCAATTCATTGTTTCTTCTACCTTCAAAGCCAGTAAAAACCGCACTCCCCTCTTTGCTAGGAGTCAAAGTTATAGGTGAAGATGATCCACTATGGACAGGGGTTTCTTCAAAAGAGAAGGAAAAACAAAACAAAACAAATCAGAAATAAATGTTATTATCTGTTTTATGGAACTACAAGTCATTAAACATAACTAAGGTCTGCTGCTAAAATGTTTAGAGAGTCTTAACACTGGAATTCGATAAATGCTATCCTAAAGTAGGCTCACAGAAAAGCAGCTCCTTGAATTCTGTTGAGAAATACAGTACCAAAGTACTGAGAATATTGCTTTGTAATTTCTCCCTTTGGTATAAGGCCTCAGAGATAAATAATTGATACAAAAAGTAACTAATTCACACTTCAATCATTCAGTTCACAGTCCACACGGCATTAATAAAAAAAAACAGGACTTAAAAATCTCATTTAGAGCAACAATTTAAAGAGCAAAACGTACTTTTTTCCAGGTGCAAGAAGAGCTTTGGCATAGAAGCTGGGGTCTCAAGATGCCGTCTTTTAGGTTGCGGAGAAGCACTACTTTCCGATAACCTGTCACAGTTAGAACTATGGCGTGTAGAACGTCTCAGTGACTGCAGAATTTCAGGTTCAGCTTTTCGTCTTTTTGGTGTGGCTGGCTCCCCTGTTGTAGGCTGGCTGTCGGTTGACTGAGGCGTTGGCGGATTCAACAGAGGAGGACTTGGGGAAAGCTCCTCCTGATTTCTAGGAAAATAAGGCAGCTTTACAGAAGCAAAGAGATCAGGGCTCTTCCCCCAAGAGATCCTTCTAGTTTCGCAGATCTTGCTAAATACTTATTCAGATTAGACAGTCTCCTCCCAATAACTATCAAAGTGATGAAGCCTTCTTTTAAACACTATTTTCCGGAAGTATATTTATTTTCAAATTTAAAAGTTAATGAACACAAATTTACATTTCAATGTAAATTTCTTTCCCCACACGGTTGCAGCATAACTCTACACCAGTCAGTACAAACCCCTTTTGAAGTCAACCAGACAGAAATTCAGAACCTGAATTCAGGCAAGCAATTCACAGAAAAGTTCAACATTTTATCAAGACAATTTTTAAGTCAAAGTCTGTGAGAAATCATTCTATTCTGAACAGGTAACCACATTCTACTGCATTTTCCTCAGACTCCACATACCAACCTACCTGTTAGTATTTGTTGAGTTCTCTTTGATGGGAAGAAAGAATTTTGATGAAGTCACCTTCTTAAATTGAGCTTGTTCGTAAGGATAGAGCAAAATTAATGGAAGTGTGAAGTCAAAGGTTATTCTCAGCCCATCTACCATCTCTTTACATAGCTCAACACTAGAAAAAAAAAGATTATGAATTTCAAAGTTGCAAGTCAAAGTTCTTCCATGCAGTTATAAGAAATTCCCTTTTAATACAGATCATTAACACCTTAACTACAGTATGCTGACTTCATCACTAAGTAATGATGATTGATTAAAAGCATACTTAAAGAGACAGTGATTGCTGTTGGTAACTTCAGACAAATACAAATTTAAAAAGTCTGCTTAATAAGGTCAAACAAAATCATACAATTGTTCTGTTGTATTACTATTTACTGGATTAATAAAACCTACTTTACAGTAAATAGTTAGTTAGTTTTTCATGTAAGCATTATTTTGTTTTTCCAAGTTTACTAGGCTCAAAAAAGAGGCACCTGCCAGAAAAAGTAAGTACTCAATAGATTGAATCTCTGTCTAAAAGGCATATACAGAATTTGATCTATAGCCGTTAAGATACAGACAAAGCTGTGATTAAGAGATATCCAGGGAACCAACAAAAACAGATACATTGAAGATCAGTTTCCAATGGCCTGCTCCTGGTAACCAAAGCACTTAGAGGCTACTAGGAATTTCAGTTTTGGGCTTGTGTAAAAGACTGACCGTGCTAGGTGGTGAGTAGATGTGCTGTTACAAGCAGAACCAAGAGTCCAACCCACCTCCAACACTCTCACCTCTACGAAGGTATTCATGTCTCACGTCTGAAGTGCATATATGTGTATGGTAACAGTGATTTGATTCTGCCACAACGACCCACGTTAGAAATTCCATACCTTGTATTACCATTGCATACCACCTGCCAAAACTACTGCCTTTTTTTTTTTTTTTAAAAAACACTATATATAAATTGGGTCAGGGGACCATCATGTGCAGAAATTCTATCACATCCAAGAGGGTTAATTACGTTCTGTTTTAGAGCAGTAAGGGCAATACAATAAAGTTGTTAACTGAATCTCTCCTACTTAATGGATCACTGAAATTATACACATTTTCCTTATTAAAGCACCTTCTTTAGTGAGGAAGTCACTTAAACATACACCTTTAAAAATCACAATGTGCGTACAACCCTCTGTTCATATTTCTGATGTCTCATCTAACTTCTTGTTTGGGAGATTATATTAGAAAGAAGGAAAGTATCATTAATCTGTCAAATAATGAATGACATCAATATAAACCAAGACACTCACAAAGACCAAAATATCGCAAGGAATAGTATAATTATGCACCACTGAAATAGAATGTGGTAACAAAAGTCAACATTTCTCTTTGATAAAATGTAAGATTTCACCCCAGTGTAGACTTAGATAAAGAAGTAGTTTCATCTAATATTGAGAACCTTTAACATAAGAGAAAAAACAAATAAAGAAACAAAAAAACCCAAAACAACAACAAAAAAAAACCCACACTGCAAACACGTAAGGTTAACACACTGCATTTGTAGCATGGTAGAAGAATATACAGCTCAGCTGAGAAAACAGCAACTAAGACACAATCAATATTAATAAACAGGATTGGTGTTACTACATTTTTTTTTCCCTACATATTGACTCTAGGATTTAAGATGATATGTCAATTGAAAAAAAAAAATCACCTGCACTTGAAGTTCTCTTTAAGTGTTTGCTTATAAAGGATAAAAAATTTATTATTTGAACCTTTTCAGTTTTATTTAAGCAGGGAATTCTCATATCAGATTCTCTCTCAGTGCTCAAAAAATTCTTCACATAGACAATAGCAACACATTTTTCCAAAATGGGTAACAATACTCACAAGAACTTAACACGATAGAAGGGGATATTGATGCTTTTGCATAATTACTTTTCAAATTATAGAGACTCTCTCACTGATAAACAAATTGCCAGTGTTACTGTAGTATAGGTATCTGTCAAATATTTTAAGTCCCATACATAGACATACATCACAGTATGAGCTCACAGAAGTGAACAGCCTTGAAACAGAACATGGAATGCAAGGTCATTCTTCTTGTGACAATAGTGCTGGACTAAAGATTACTTACTTCTTCTCTGGTGGCACATAATGAAGATTCATATTAGCATGTGGAGTCATCTGATGGTGCCGAGATCTTTCATTGGCTGAAAAAGCAGCATTAATAGCAAAATGTTTCACATATGACTCCAGGATGGTTATTATATTTGTCTGACAAGGAAGCTTCACTAGCTGAAAAAGAAACAACAAATTATGTCTTACAAAAACAATTAGTAAGTACAGAAAGCTAAAACAGGAGCTTGTAATGTACTGCCTAGTTTAATAAGTCTCTATTGTATGGATTTATTTCGGGAGTGATTAATTTGAACCCTGAAACTGCATTTTTGATCAACCCTTTATAAACATCTGGAGAAGCAAAAATATGGTCAGGTTAACAAGCTTACTACATTTCCAGCTTTAAAAAAAACAATCTGCACTCTAAAACACAATTGGGTACTGAAACGTGACATTCTTAAATATAATGACAACTCACTGTTTTAGCTATAGAAAAGTCTGCTCCCTACACTCTTTTTATTCTTCCTTATACTAAGTACACCTTTGCAACAAAGTTCAAAAAAACAGTTGTTATATGCAAGAATTGCTTTTGATGTCCTCCCCATGCCCCCGTGCACATTCATTTCACAGCTTTTATTTCATACCCGTTTTCTTCTATTAATATAGTAACAGTCTTCCTCAAGCTTCTTTTTCAAGACTTCAGGAATTTCTATGCTTATTGCTCTTTCTTCCATGTCCCTTTTTGTGTGAGTGTCTTGTTCTTCTTTCTACAACAGACCAATGCAAGGAACAATATATTGGTTGTGCTTATGAATATTAGTGCAAAAGAACTTCAGTAGTCAGGATACAATATAACAATCAAGTTTTGTCATGCAAAAATAAAATATATAAAGTATAGTAAATATTTAAGTGGATAGTAGCCTTACCGTAAGCAACTTAACAATACTGCTCTGAAGCCATCTGCGAATTAATTTTCTTTAATTTTTTTTTTAATTTAGCATTCACTTAAGTATTTAACGCAAAAGAACGAACAGAAATTTGCTAGGTTTTGCTGCTTCAGATCACCCACAGTGTAGTAGTTAAGATTCCACAGACCTTCAGAAAAACTGTTTATGCTGTACTTTCTTTTCGATAATGTAGAGAAAATAAATGCTTTTTCATGAAGTCAGTCTTCTACATTTTAATTTAAGAACACAGTTGATATGCCCATTTCACAGTAAAATACAAAAGCCAAAAAGAACGTGCTGCTATTAGGATTTGTCCAACCTGCATAGACCAGTAAAAGTTTACAGCACCCACAAATTTGGATAATCTAGTTTGCTATGTTTTCTCCACATGTGTAGAAAGAGAGGAAAATAAACAAATGTGTATTTTTAGATTAATATAAAAAAATTCTACAAGAATATGACACCTTCTATAATTTTCCAAAACTCACCACAGTAAGCACCAGGAGTAAGAAAATTAATTCCAGCTAAATAACTAGCTGTGGCCTATATTTCATCTACTTCAATTTTTCCAGTTTCAAATACAGATGTTTAAATTCTATTAAGTTAAGGAGCTCATGAATATACCATTTCTGTCCTCTCTTCTATGTCACTTTCTTCACTTTTTATTTCTTCATCTGTTCCTTCATCACTGTCATCAGAAGAAGAACTACTTATAGCTGTGTAAAGAAGATTTCACATATTTATCTCACATTATTACATTGCAGAGGTTAAAACCAAACAAACAAAAAAAACCAAAACCAAAAACAAAAAAACCCCACCAAAACCCACAACTAGCTTGTTATATTTAATGAGGATTAATAATTCTAATTTAATTAAACACACAAGTATTATTTACAGCACGCTATAAACTTCTTAAATATATAAGACAAGAAGTTTACAGGAAGTATTCTTGCATCCTCTCTAATTGAAAAACACTCACTTTAAAAAGCTTCCTACATTTCTGAACACTCACAGATCTTTTCAATTTTTATTGGACTTTACTTCTGAACAGTGGATTAATCTATTAATCATTCAATCAGAAGGTCTGGATCTGTGCAGCAACAGTTGCCAGTACATCAGTTAAGTGCCAGCCAGTGTTCCTGCTCGTTTTCAAGCTACACAGAAAAATGCTATGAAATGAAAGACCTGGCTTGAGAGTGAAATCAGCCAGTCAGCTGACAAGAAACAGACCTTTGTGCCAGGTAGACTGGGGAAAAAGAAAATCTTATTGTCCCCTAAAATATGTAGAAACATATTTAGCAGGGAAAGTGTCTTGTCTCCTAACACCAAACAAAGAAAACTGAGGGCTTCTTGCACCTAGTAATACTACACTAAACAAAGCAGCATTAAGCTCTGAAATCACTGATTAGAATAGTTGAGTAGAAGTGACACAACGAAAAGCCTCTGGAACACAAGCAGAAAGGTGATATCTTAACTTAATAGGTGCTTAGCATGAAACATAGTTCTCACTCCTCATATGACTGCCTCCGTATATTTCCAATAGGACTGTGATACTCTCGTGTCATCCTAATAACAAGTTACAGCATGCACTGTGCACTGTACCCCTCGCTCAAAAAATTAAAGGCATCATGCCAGTTATCAAAGAATGAAAACAAGCTCACAGTTTTCGCTACTCTCATCATTTTCTTCGGCAGGAAGGCTTTTTAATACCGAGTCAACACCAGGCAACCTGCAACGTCTCTTCTTTCTTCCCTTTCTTCTCCTACAGAACATAAAATGGCTCACTGAAATTTGGCTAATATTATTTGTTTACCCTAGCTAATTACATTACATGCGAATGCACAGAAAATGTATGTTTGAGTTATTTTCATTAATTAACGTTGAAATAATTTGGACAATGCTTATTTGAGAGTGGATACCTTAATGTCCGTACATTACCTCATATTCGTGTTCTCAAGCAGATCCTCAAGCCATGGCCAACCAATATTAGATTATTGCCTTTGGCTGAAAAATACTTCAGGTTTTCCTAAGTTATTTCTCAAGTACATTTCTTTGGGAAGATGTAGATCCAATTGACAGGCATTTCGCAGCAATAGTTAAGAATAATATAGTTATTAAGTGTTGGTCATTTAGAGTGTTGTTTAATAACAGTATGTAGGTATCTACCTTAGTATGAGAAGAGTAGCTCTCTAGAATGCACTGATTGTACTGAGTAGATATCTACCATCTATAGCATGAGCTTAGAGGCCAAGCTCACAGGGATGTACCTGTTTGAATCTGAAAATGAATCTCTCATTCATTTTGAGATCAAATGGATTTCTTACATGCGAGCCACAGCCTTCCGTGCCAATTTACGCTGTAATCTGCGGTTTTCGTCTGTATCACGAAGAACATGATCTTCAGCTGCCCATCTATCCCAGCTAAGGATAGGTCAAAAGAAAATTGTTAACGGCTATGAATATATGCCACTCATGATTACTAATGAATTAATATACATCAAATCTAAAAAGCACTTTTTTACTGTCATTCAGAAGCAACATCTGTATTACAAGGTTTGCATCCTTTTATATTCACATGGCTTCAACTCTCACGTTGCTATCCAAAAATCTCTCAAACCGTGACTTAACATGCAATACTGTTTGTAGCATTGACACATGCTATAGATCAAAGTGAGAGACTGCACTCATGTACTGGCCTTGATAACCAAACAATCCAGGTCTAGATTTAACAAAGTATAAACTCCTTTTATTAACGAAACCTAGGAGCCACAAGTATATGCCAAAGACAGATATCCCATAAAGTTTAAATTCATGGCTATCAAACTGATCCGCTGAAATCTATGGCTACAGACCAATGTGTCAACATAAGCAAGTATATAATATTTGATATTCTGTGCAATGCTTTTCTTTGCAGAATAAAATAGAAGAAATGGAAGAACTGAAACCGTGCATACAGGTTCCTACCTTCTGTTCCAACCGTTAAAATGGATCAGATATTCTGGAATCTTTCTGCCTTTCTCATCTTTTCCGACAACAATATCAACAATCTGAAACAAATATTGAATAGCATGTATTAAGAAGCTTGAGAGAAAGCAAGCTTTCCAGCATTTAGGAAATTTATGCACAAAGAAGAAAAAGACATGTTATTTACAAAATGACATATACCTGTAATTTTGCCAGTGAATATTGATATGAGCAGAAGATATGGACTCTACTAAATGGTCAGAAAAAGTAGCTTTTTTGTTGAGCACTTTTAAAGTTGGGGACTGCTAACCATCTTTGTCCTATCCTCACGTGTCCCATGCTTTCAAGACAGACAAAGGGAGATGCAAAACAATGCAGTATCACAATACGGATATGCAGATATACATCTGAGCTGCTAACGTTTTCTCTTGTGTGCTGCCTCTTCATACTCTCAAAGCAGGAGACGACAGAGTTCTATATATACATAAACCTCAGAAACGCTGCTCTCTTGAACAACACTGAATCTTAGCCACATTAACGTTAAAAGGCTTTGTAAATTTCTGAGCCTTTGTTTTCTTCCTCTCTTTCACAGATGTAAAATGGGCCAGTCTGAAAGGGCCTGCACCTCAAAAAACATTTCAGGTGGATCATTAAGAAGAGCATCAGGACTAGTAATAAGTCCTGATGGATTCCTGATGAAGGAATCATTCTGCCTGCACTTGAATGGCTCTCAATAGACCGTATATCTCCAGATGAACCCAGTAGTTAGGCTACAGCAATGTTTTAACTTGGGAGTCCAGAATTTAAGAACTATTGATGCAGTCAAGGACAGCCTGGGGTAATTGAAAGTAAAGAAGAAAAGGCACCATTATTTTTTGCACTCAGGTTTCCTCTAGGGCTGGCAATTAAAGCTTTTGGAGTCGTCAGAACATAAGAATACATGTACAAACAAAAGACCAGCCCAAAATATTACAGGAAGGTTCCTGATCAAAGATATTTGAAAAGCACTGATCTACACAACTAGCAAACTTGCAGCAAAAAGTATGAATTTGGCCAGGAATCCAGCTGCAATACCTCCCTTTTCACCCCTCTTTGTGACAAAACAAAACAAAAAAAACAGAACTCTGTTTGCAAGTTAGGTACAGACGACTTATGACTGAAAAATTATTTCCTGTCCCACTGATACCCCAAAACAATATTTACATAAAGCTCTACAATTACTGCCACTACTCATAAGGCCAGGCCCAAGTGAGTCAGTCACCTTTTATTGCAACATTTACGGTCCACCACTCACTGCTTGCTATCATGTTTCTGTATGCTCTCCTGTACCATCGGTACCATTTAAACCCTTTGGACAGAAGGGAGGGCAGCAGGGTAGGAGAGCAGAGAGGGGGAATAAATCGAGCTACCCTACGAAAGTGCAGGGATGAAAATAAGATTTCAGAATTACTTTGCAGGTGTTCAGCCGAGAACGGAAGGCGGGAACCGAGTCCGACACTTCCAGAGCCCCTCGGCGGCTCCGCTCTCTACCTGACGCGAGAGCAAGGCCCCCACGGCCCGGGCTCCATCGCCTCTTTGTCACCCAGGCAGCGGGACGCCTCCGCCCCGCGGGGGTGAAGGCCCAGGGGCTCGTACAGAGCTGCTACGCCCACCCCCCAGCCCCGGGCACCCCC